GGGGTTGGCGGGGGAGCGTTGGCGGCGAGGATTCCGAACTCCCCTGGGTCAAAGAAGGCACGAATCGGAGCAGCAATGCAGCTGCCGTGGCGGAGCAACGCAGCTGTCTTTCGCGTCGACGCGAAGGTGACACTGCACCGGCCTTTTTTCTGGGGGAGCGACGCAAGGGAAAAGACCCTTGGATCCTTCTGTGGAGCCCGTTTTAACAGTTCCGGATGGCACCGGCAGCCGAATCGTCACCCCCCTTGGCATCGACTCCCACCGCGGCACCAGTTCTCCTCTCACCCAATCGTGGCCCTCAGCCGACGGATCGACGGCCCAGACTTTCCCGGGATTCGAATCGGCGCCCGCTAGGCACCGAATCTCACCGCGGCACTGGTTTTCCCCGCACCCGATCCTGGCCCTCAGCCGACGGATCGACGGCCCAGACTTTCCCGGGATTCGAAACGTCGGTCCCGCGACACTGATCCCCTCGAGGCACCGGGTCCCGAACTCACACCCCGCAGGCCGCATTCCCTCGCAGGCCTTCCACATAAAGTATAAATAGTGTTGTGGGCCCACCATTTCCCATTTCTGCAGGTTCGTCGAGAGCAAAGGAGCGCCGTGGAGGTTCGCAAAGCGTCCGAAGCCGGCGGAGCGCTGACTCGCACATCGGAGGCTCGCGGAGAACGCAACGGAGATCTCGCTCGCACATCGGAGGTTCGCGCATCATCGGAGCGAAGTTCCGAGCATCCGCTTCGAAGGCAGCAGCGGAGGCCTGGGAGAACGGTAAACCGCCATGAATCAACCACGTGCTGCCACGTGGCATCTCCGCCCATGCAGAGGCCGCCGTCGAGTCGAACTCGACGGGGGCATTGTCGAGTCGAACTCGGTATTGGCCTGTGGTCATCGTCGAGTCGAACTCGGCAATGGCCTGCGGTCATTGTCGAATCGAACTTGACAATGTCCTGTGGTCATCGTCGAGTCGGACTCGACAACGGCCAACCCGCCGCCATCGAGTCGAACTCGACGGCCGGCTAGTAGGGCGTCGTCATGTCGAAGTCGACAGTGGGCAGTAAAGCTTCGTCGAGTCGAACACGACGACCGGTAAGCACCAAAGCCTCCGGCCACTGTCGAGTCCGACTCGACGATGACCCCGAGCCGTTGTCGAGTTCGACTCGACGATGACCACAGGCCGTTGTCGAGTTCGACTCGACGATGACCACAGGCCAATGTCGAGTCTGACTCGACGATGACCCCGGGCCATTGTCGAGTTCGACTCGACGAAGACCACAGGCCATTATCGAGTCCGACTCGAGGATGAGCCCGGACAATGTCGAGTCCGACTCGACGATGACCCCGGGCCATCGTCGGGTCGGTCTCGACAATGTCGAGTCCGACTCGACGGCCTGGGTTCATCGTCGGGTCGGTCTCGACAATGGCAAGACGAAATCGTCGACGGCCTGGGGTCATCGTCGTGTCGGACTCGACAGTGGCCGGAGGCTTTGGCGCTTGCCAGCCGTCGTGTTCGACTCGACGACGCCGTACTAGCCACTGTCGACTTCGACTTGACGACGGCCCATTGTCGAGTCGGACTCGGACTCGACAATGGCCCGTGGCTTTGGCGCTTGCCGCCCGCGTTTTGGACTCGATGGCCCCCTGCTGGCCACTGTCGACTTCGACTCGACGACGCCCTACAGTCCCATCGTCGAGTTCGACTCGACGACGGCGGGTTGGCCATTGTCATGTGCGACTCGACAATGGCAGAGGCGTTGGAGCTGGACGGCTGTCGACTTCGACGTGACAGTGGCCAGCCGGCCGTCGTCGAGACGAGCTCTACGAACTCGACCTTCGGCAAGCACCAAGGCCACTGGCCATCCGTCTGAGCTTTGTCGATTGTCCTTCATCGACCTTGTCGCGACGAACGCGACGATGGATAGCCGCATGGAATTTGTCATTATGTGTGTTTTCTCCTTCTGTTTTGGAAATTCGCAATGCCTGGTTGTTGTGTGTAACTGCGATGGCTCCTCGGTGTGTGAGCGAGTTCGACCTTAGCAATGGCTCCCTATTGTGGTCGTCAATCGTTTGTGTGTAGGACATTTACGATGGCTCACCGCTTCGATTACTCGTTCCCTTTGAATGCTAGCGCGAGGTACATACGAGGTTCAAGGCGGGAGACAGTTGTACTTGGGGCTTGTAGAGAAGACTTCGACACGGACCCTTGGATGAGCGTTATGCCCTGGCTTGAAAGGCCCTTCGATGCATGGTCCGAATTAGATCGGGAGAACACAATTAAAGACTGCCCTTGGGCGTCTGATTATCGACTAGCATCCAGCCAGGAATGGGGGACATTCATCTTCCTCGACCACACCCTCGTGACGAAACACACGCCGGTGTTGTCTGCGGCATTTCGTACCCGAGACCTGTCTTTGTCCTTGACTGCGCACAACGTGTTGTGTTCGCCGCGCTTGTGGGGACCATCGATGAAGATGGAGTTGCTGGACTGCGCGAAACAGAACCAGTTTCTAGAGAAATATCCCCTTCCTTTCGAGGACAACTTGACGGGGAGTGTGTCGTACTTCTACGTACATGTTGATCTCTGTCGTTTCTATTTCGCTAGGGTTCTTTGTGTTTCGGTAAGAAATAGAAGTAAGACTTCAGCGGAAGCAAGTATTTACGTGTCCAGGAACGAGCTCATCGTTGACGGGGACTCGATTATGTTATTGCATGGTTGGAGGAATAGTAAGTTTGACGTGAAACTGGCGGGGCAGGTTGACACACCCCGGTATTGGGAGGAGGTCGAGGAGTACGTGCCGATCATTAGAGATGCCATCGGTCACACATTAGCCAGATCATGTGGTTTCGTCCGTGCGCGATATGTGTCTTGCTTCTCCGCCACTGCAACCCTGTGTAGTCCACAACTCCTAACGTACGGTTCATCCCTGAACGCAGTGTACGGTTTCGGGGCGAAAGGATAGGCGAGGTCGTGGGGGAGGTCATGGGAGATGAACAGTGTAGGACATGTCAGCTATTCAGCTGTTTAGCAAAAGTGAAAATTGAGACTGTGTATGCGTGCGAGCATTGAGTTTGATGTGAGCTTGTCGATGCCGGTTAAAGCTCTCTCTCTCTTTCTCTCTCCTTATGTGTGTGTGTGTGTGGTTAGTAATCGGTGGAGCGTACTGTTAGTCGCTCGTTGCGGGTGCCGGTTGCATGCCTTGCCAATTGAATGCCTCAAATTGATATTGGATGTAGGCTTCCAATTGATGTGCCTTGATTGGTGTGCCTTGTTGGTGACGCCGCTCCCTATTCAGCGAAAGATGAACAGTGGGAGAAATGTGGGCTATTCAGCAAGAGTGTGAACTGAGACTGTGTGTATTATGGAAGCAATGGGTTTGATGTGAAATTGTCAATGCCGGCTTTCGATTCGTCTGCCTTGTTTGATGTGACTTTTAGGTACGCCGCTCCCGTGTTCTGTTTGCCTGCTGTTGGATACGCCGTCCCTTTCCCGTGTTCTGTTTGCCAGTCGGACCGAGTCGAACTGTCGCGCGGCCCGCCACTTTCAAGTCGAACTCGATCGAGTCGACCTCCACTGAGTCCACCTCCATCGAGTCGACCTCGATCGAGTCGAACACGATCGAGTCGAACACGATGGAGTCGAACACGATGGAGTCGAACACGATCGAGTGGAACACGATCAAGTCGAACATGATGGAGTCGAACACGATCGCCTGGACTCACGATCAGATCGAACACGATCGCTTGGACTCACATTCGAGTCGAACACGATCGCCTGGACTCACGATCGAGTCGAACACGATCGCCAGGACTCACGATCGACTCGAACACGATCGAGTGGAACACGATCGAGTCGAACACGATGGAGTCGAACACGATCGCCTGGACTCACGATCGGATCGAACACGATCGCCTGGACTCACGATCGCCTGGACTCACGATCGCCTGGACTCACGTTCAAGTCGAACACGATTGCCTGGACTCGCGATCGAGTCGAACACGATCACCAGGACTCAAGATTGACTCGAACACGATTGAGTCGAACATGATCGAGTCGAACACGATCACCTGGACTCACGATCGAGTCGAACACGATCGCCTGGACTCACGATCGAGTCGAACACGATCGCCTGGACTCCCGATCGCCTGGACTCACGATCGACTCGAACACGATCGCCTGGAGTCACGTTTGAGTCGAAAACGACCGTGTTGAATACGACACGCACACGAGCGCCCGAGTTCAGGCGAGCTCAGCAACCGCGATCGAGTCGAACACGATCGAGCTGGCTTGTCACGCTCACGCCAAACAAGATCGTGTTGACCACGGGCACGATCACGATCGAATTGAACACGATTGGGGCTGCCTTGTCACGAAGGAGTTGCGCTGCCTTATCACTATCTGAAACTTTTCTGCTCCTCGTGCCACGCCAACGTTGTGCGGCCTTCTGATTTTTGGCTTCACGGTGATGTGCTGTGTTGCTTTTAGATTCAGCAGCGCTGCAAAAAATGGAAGGAGAGGGGAAGGGAAGTAAACGACGAGCAAGTAAGAATTCTGGGAGAATGAAACAATCTCCGAAAAAATCGAAGGGGACGCCGACCGCTGGGTTTGGGAGTCAGGAGGCACCGGGGTCTAAGCGGCAACGCACCCCGGTTCCGAGGGGTGCACCTTCCACGGGCACTCCGTCGACTCGTGTTCGAGGCTCTGGACCGGATAAGGCTGTGTTGATGACTGGCGGGCCTGCGGGTCAAGAACGCGTGCCTGGTTCGCAGCAGGGGAGATCTGCAGTGGAGGTTATGCCCAGACGTAAACCGTCTGGAGAACGTAAACTGTCTGTCGAACGTAAAGCGTCTGGTGAAACGACTGCCGCGGGTCGGCGAGACGATGTGCCCGTGATTGACAACAAGAACAAGTTCTGGATGCTGGACTGGGTGGGGGAGACCGGACAACCATCGAGTGGCCTTGTTCTGTACGTGGTCATCAAAGACAATATTGTGCCGGTTGGSGGCCTKGTGAGGTGGACTGGACAAAATGTGTYGTCTGCAACTTTCGAGTTGATGATGGTCCTGAATGGAAGAGGGGAAAGAATACCAAACATTAAACACGTCGCTCTTCGATGGGCCAACCACGCGGGGTTCGGAAAGTCGCTGGTTGATGTGTTCAACCCACCAGGGACATTGAAAGTGAAGTTGCCTAACCTCGTTGACGTCCTTGGGTTTTTCGACAGTAATGTGATCGCGGGCAGAGAGCCAGTTGTGCATCCAGAGGACCGCATATCAGAGCCTAAATGCGTGCTTTCGAAAACCGTGGAGACAAGGCCTTCGATCACGATCCGCGATACGCCGCCTGGTCCGAAAGCTGGGCAGATCGAAGAGAAGGGTCCGTGCCGTGGACTGGTTGTACCGTCAGCCCCTATGAAAACCAGGCCAACGGCGACCAAAGCACCAGTTGCCTTGAGCAGCCGATCGCTTTATGATGTGGCCACCAAGGGACATCTCCCCTTGGTGGGCCAGCAGCGCTATGACTACACTGTGCCAAGCCGCGCAGAGGAAGCCCATGAGTATTTTGAAGATGAGGATGAAGAGAACAGCCAGGAATATTCGGAACGAGCAGGAGGACAGGAACAGTATGCTGCGCGTGGCGGCGGCATGACGAGGCATCCAGGAGAGACAAGTAAAGTGGTTGGACAGGATGAAGACAGTGAGCACACTATGAGCGAATTGGGTGAGGAGGTTGGTCTGGCAGGAGGATATGAGAGCAGCTACGAAGGATGTGAGGGGGATGTGCACGCGACAGTGGTTGTGGCTAGGCATACAGATGCTGCAGGGCTCGTTGAGCGAAAGAGGAATCACAAGCGGGAGAGGAAAAGTCTTATGGATAGTAAACGGAGTAGGCAAGAAGCGGGTGAAAAAAGACAATTGAAAATAATGCCCGTGGATGAGGCGGTCTAGCGAACACGGGAGACTCAGGCAGCCGCGAAGAAAAAGCAGCAGCCAAAGAAAAGAAAGGCAAAAGGTGGTGTCAAGGAAAAGACTTCCGTTTTTCCAGTGGAACAACCGCAATCACCTCTACGACGAAAAAATATCGGAAAATAGAATTGTACCTAGCTGGTAGACAGGAGGGGATCGACACGGTAAAGAAAGAAGCTCTCGGGTACTATTTGAAGGGCGAACACCTTTTCAAAAGACCCACGGCGTTGGCAATGCCCATGCATGTGCTCTATGATCTGGAGGAGAGAAGGGCAGTCATAGAGGAGTTGCACGGCGGCGTCGGCGGCGATCCCCGTGGGGTAAAGGGGACGTTCGACAAGGTTCGAAGACTTTATAGGTGGGACGGGCAATACACGAAGATTGGAAAATATTGTTCTACGTGTGATGCTTGTCAAAAGAGAGCAACTGTTCGTTACAAGGAACCTTTCTTTCCGTCGTTTCCTTCTGCGCCTGGGGAAAAAATCCACATGGATCTAATAACCATGCCAAAGGGGGAAGGGGGGTTGCGATACATTATCAACGCCTGTGATGATCTTACCGGATTCGTAGAAGCTAGGGCCATGAAAAAGAAGACTGCGAAAAAAATTAGCAACTTTCTACCATAATATATTGCTAGGTACGGATGTGTAGGGGAAATCATCATGGATAGGGGGGTTGAATTCACAAATCAGAAAGTAAAAGGGATACTAGAGAGGGGGGGGATCAAGGCGGCTTATACAACCGCTTACCACCCCCAAAGTAATGCACCAGTTGAGCGAGGGCATCAAACATTCCTAGAAGCATTGGCAAAATGGTGCAAGGGTCAGGAAAGCCAATAGCCGCGTTTTCTGCAGTATGCCGTTTGGGCGGATAACGTGACGGTCAAATCAAGCAATGGGTACCCCTCTTATACCTTGTGGTTCAACAGACATTGCCTTTTGCCTATCGAATTTAATGTGGACACCTGCACGAGTGTCTCATGGCAGGCGAGTATGACAAGGGGCGAATTGTTAGAAGCACGATTGCGACAGATAGCCGAGAGCTTAGACGTTGGGATGATGGAGGCAACCCAAAACATTGAGAGAGAGAGAACAAACAGGAAGGAAAGGTAAGATCAGAACTTGCGTGTTCGGCATAAGCCGATAGAGATTGAGGATCTCGTCCTAATGTACGACTCCTCGCTGGAAAAAACCTGGGCCAGAAAGTTAGCCAATCGGCGGATGGGGCCGTACCGGGTGCTTAAGCGATCGGATGGGGGGGCATACTTTCTTGCTGAATTGGATGAGACCCGACTCGGAGATCCTGTTGCGGGAGTACATATGAGACTTTTTCAACGGAGAGAAGTTCTTGGAACGGACCCAAAGGAGAAAGGAAAAATCGCGATACTCACGGAAGTGGCTCGGTACATGTGCTTGGACTCGGAGTGGTCGGTACATGTGCATGAAGAGTGCACCATGGGCGGAAAAGGGGAATGGACAAGGATAAAAAGGGGTACCATAAACAATATACCATAGTCAAAAGAAGGGGAAAACAGGGTGCTACTAATTAGGAGGACAACTATGGAGGAGCTCGCCGGGGATGACGAGAGTTGGGGTGTGGGCTGGTTGTCCGGCGGCTGTCTACCAGTCGAGAGGTCTCTTCCCCAAACAAAAGGTTTTCTCTATGCATGTTTCGTTTGTTTTTGCATGTTTTCGTGAATGTGCGTGTGGTCGAGGGGTTGTTTTTAGGGCTCTTGTTTTTTTTTTGGTCTATCCTAACCTTCCGCCAAGCAGGAATCAAAGCGGTTGATGCAGGGTCACAAGAGGGGTTGAACGCGAACTAAAAATCAAGATTTTTGGAGGAAAAATCAGGGTTAACTGTGAAGGGCGCCGACATTGAGGCTAAGGGTCGGAGAACTGAAAGATGGGGTACAGGAAGGGGGCTCGTACGAATGGGTCAGGGGGCCACAACAGAGATCAGGTACATCGGTGAGATGTAGAAACCTCGGAGTGGAATCCACACTGATCGCAGGCGAAAACGTCATGGTATGGTGGTTACGAGAAGAGGGTCGGTCCTTAAAAATGGTGGTCGATGGGGGTGAGGGCCAACATGGTCTTGTGGTCGAGGCAACGATCAGTTGATATGCTCGAGAACAGACAGGTAACCTGAGATTTTGGCAACGAGGTCTTCTTCGATTCGGCGAACCTCGGGTTGGGAAACGTCGGGTAGTTTAGTGGGATCAACGTAGGAGCAACAACCACGGTAAGAGGGCCGTTCGGGAATGACCGATCTCGAAGTTATTAGAGCAATACCGCGGTGGCTGCAGCGGGAGAATGAACTGTTCAACATGATAGAGGATTTGGGGCGAGTCACCTGCGTGAGATTCGGTATGAGTGCGAGTAGTGTATTCGCTATAACATGGTGGTTTAGCCGGTGCGATCGGACGGACGTGCTCCGTGACCAGCAGAGTCGACTTCGGTGAACGGTGTATCAGGGTGAAAAGGCGGACAATTAACGAGTCGGCTTGCAAAATTCCGAGCGACTCAGTAAGGATTAGCTGGGTCACTACGGGTTGATCCAAGGGAAACCTCAATGGAAGGTTGGCGACGAGGCACGACACTATCAAACCCAAGATCAACTTAAGATGTCTGTATACTAGAGACATGCAAATAGTGGATATGTGAGCACAATGGACCGTGGAAGCTGAAAGAGGGGGTTAAAAAATCATCCTTGCTGCACTCATGATAGAGCAGTACCGATTTTTTGTCGGCCGTAAGAAAAAAAAAGGGGGGGTGCGCAAGGAGTGAGGGTTCTATACCGCGGCAGGCGACATCACCTTCAAAAAGAGTTGGAAAATAGAGGAGAGGAAGTTGGTATCGGTCGACGGGAAAATGCATGCACCAACTGTTTCTTGATGATCAAGGGCTAGAGAACGAGAGACGGGCAGTGGAGGAGCAAGACCGAGGGAGCACAACAGGAGAATAGAGAGGAGGAAGTTGGTATCGGTTGGCGGGAAAATGCATGTACCAACCGTTTCTTGCTGACCAAGGGCGTGAGAGCGAGAGGCGAGCAGTGAAGGAGAGCAAGACCGGGAGAATAGAGAAGAGAAAGTTGGTATCGGTCGGCGGGAAAATGTGCACGTCGACCGCTTCTTACTGACCATGGGTGTAGGGGTAAAAAGTGAGCAGCGAAGGAGCAAAGCGGGAGAATGGAGGAGGAGAAGTCGGAGGGAAGCAGCAAAAACAAAAAACTGGGAAAATTTGCAGCATTAGAAACCGATAGTGGGCCGCGGTGTGCCATGATGATTGGAGAAAGGAAATCGAGGGAGAATCGATCTGGCAAAAAAAAGTAGAGAAAGTAGTATAATAAGAGAAGCAAAGGGATGCCTGAAAAGGGGAGAGTCAGGACCGCAAGGGGCTGTCTGGTATACTTGCGGATGTTCGGAGCGCACGATGCTGCTTGCTCTCGCGCAAAGGAGTGAGAGTGGGAGAAAAGCGAGCGAGAGAGAAAGAGAAGAGAGGAGAGTTGGAGAGCACGGAGGCAGAACGGGCTCGCCGAGCGAGCGGAGGAGTTCGGGAACGGGAACCATGATCGTGTCCAGTCAGCGCACGAGCAAGGAGGAAGGAAAGCGGAGAAGAGCGGAGGCGGTGGGAACCAAGCGAGAGAACGAGAGCACGGAGGCAGGACGGGCTCGCCGAGCGAGCGGAGGTGTTCAGGAACGAGAACCATGATCGTGTCCGGTCAGTGCACGAGCAAGGAGGAAGGAAAGCGGGGAAGAGGGGAGGTGGCGAGAAGCGAGCGAGAGAATGAGAGCACGGAGGCAGGATAGGCTCGCCGAGCGAGCGGAGGTGTTCAGGAATGAGGACCACGATCTTGTCCTGTCGACGCACGAGCAAGGAGGAAGGGGAAAGAATCATTGGAGAGGTAGCGCCCGTGCCCGTACACGCGCCAACGCCACACAGATCGGGCGATGGACTTCGGAAGCTCGCTGTGAGTGGACCTTGCTGGACCTGGTTCTAACCCCTGCGAAGCAAGCTGTTCTGTGTTGCTATGTCCTATTACGAGTTGACGAAAGGGTGTTGCAAGTCTCCCACCCGCGTCGGGAACCGGGCGACACTAGGAGGGTGGCCTCAGGAAGGAGTGTGTTTGTCTGTGGGCCCGTACATGTGGGGTTGGGCGTGTGGTGTATGAGAGAGAGAGAGAGAGAGAGAGAGAGAGAGAG